GAATGACCAGCGACATCACCTCACCAAGCTGCTCGCCACACATTTGAGCACAAAGTGCCTCCTGATGTAGAATGCAATGAAAACTTAGGATGGGTCTATTTTCATGTTCATGAAGAAGCGCTACAAATCCTCTGTTTTTCCCCACCATACACGGAGCACCATCAGTACACACCGAAATAAGTTTATCCATCGGTAGATGTTTTTCTTTAGTGAACTCAATGAAGGCCTTGAATAAATCCTCCCCTCTTGTTGACCCTTTCATTGGCAAAACAGCAAGACTTTCCTCATGCAGTGTGTTACCTTGCAATCACACTGAACTGGGATAAATGGCTTACGTCTGTTGACTTATCAAAAGCAGGGGAAAAGTATGGCGCTGCATTTATGTCCTTCACTTGCGTTTCCTCCACTTGATGGCGCTGTATTTATGTCCTTCACTTGTGTTTCCTCCACTTGATTTGCCATCATGATGGTACGATCGTGAACAGTATTTGCTGACAGAGGTATATCTTTTATTCGTTTGATTATCTTATCTTTATCCGAAAAGTCGTCAAAAAGTTCAAGCATGAATGTTTTGGCATACTTGCCATCTGTGAATGGCTTTCCGTTCCTCACTATTGCTAAAGAATCAGCAAAGCTAGCCGAATTCCAGTCACCTTGTCGGGTCCATACACGGAGTTGCTGCTGACTAGCTTGCACTCTGCACAGTAGCTCTTGGCATGCTTTCTTCCTGCTGTCCCCTGCTGGATATTTCGATGCAAATGTAGCATGGCGTGTGTCGAAGTGCCGCTTTATATTTGACCGTTTCATCGATGAAATTTTATCATTGCATATTAGACACCACGCAGAACCTGCTCTCTCTCCACAAAGGCAAATTCCTCTGTCCATTCGTGCTGAAATGTACGGTACTCATCTTTTTTTCTTTTCGCCAACTTCTTCGTCAAAAGGGTTTGCTCTGTATAAATTAGATAGCTGACTGTTTGATTAAAAGGAGGGAAGTTTACTCTTTGACCTCACAACGACCCGTGTAGGCTACAGCATTATCCAATAAAAGTAGAGTTTTGGTGTCGGACCCTCCTATACCCAGAAGGACAGCTGGGATTGGCTCAGGCCACCCGCAACCCTGAACAGGAGCGGTAGAAAATGGATGGATGGATTAAAATGCATGAGAATGTTTTATATTTTGAACGTTATTTTTAACACTGATTTCTGTAATGTTTTACTTTAAAATGTCAGCGGAATCATTCATTACTTATCCTGTTAAGAAATGTCAGCTAAGATTTATCTGCGAGCCAGATGCAGTCATCAAAAGAGCCACATCTGGCTCGCGAGCCATAGGTTGCCGACCCCTGCTTTAGGTCTATACACTGTGAAAAATGTCCCTGAGCCTCATGTGATATCGTCGTATCCGCTGTCTTAACAACAGTCTGAAACAGAGAAACGTTCTGTCCTGATTGTTGCTTTCTGTTCTTTTCCCATCATTCTCTTGTCTTCTCTTTTTGCAGCGATCCACAATGCACTCCCCCAGCAACCATCAAGACCTAGCAACCGTGCAGCACCACTCCCTCCCAAACCCTCTCAGCCTCCCCCATCCTCACTCCCCTCTCTGCCTCCATCCTCTTCACCTCAACTTCAGCCCACGCTTCCCCTCAACCTCCCCCAGCCCGTCCCCCGCCCTCGCGTCCCTTCACCCACATCACATGGTATCTTGGGTACCCTCTCAGCACAGCCTCCCCAGGCGCTGCTGGAGGGCGATGAAGAGCCAACACCCAACAGTTCTGAAATGCCGCCCCTAAGTCAAGTCCACAACTTCCTGCAGTCACTCCAGGTGCGACCCACCATGCAGACACAGCCGCTGCATGTACACACGCATTCGCCTGCGCGTGGTGCCCCTCAGCTGGTGTCAATGCATACACAGGCTATGGTGACAGCCACCCCCTCCCTGACCCAGAGACATAGCTCGGGCCACGCTCACATGCAGCAGTCAGTCCCACATATGCACATGTCAGCGTTGCAGCAGCAGCAGAAGGGAGTGGCTCTGCAGCAGAAGGTACAACAGATGCAGCAGCATCAACAACAGCCATCACCACAGAGTAAAGCAGAGCCTTTCTCATCAGGTGAGATGCATATTTATAGACAATGTAGTGGTTCCCAAACTGGTTCTGGAGGGCCCAAAATAAAGATGATGTGTCACAAGATGATCAAAGGTTGCATAAATATTTGTTTTCTGGTTTTTCTCTTTTTTTTTCTTGTCCATGTGATAAACTGGACACGTTTACCTCTTTGAGGTCTGTAAAAGCCTTTAAGTAGACAAAGCTTAAATGTAAGCTGCTATAAAGTAAAATGTGGGAACCTGTGATTTAAGATGTGCATGAACAGCAGTGTTTCCATCAGAAAAATGTCCAGGCATAGTGGCAAGAGGATGCACACGATGAAATTCTTTGGTTTTTTTTTATTCCTCACACAGCACCAGACTTTTGGTTTAACCTAGTTTAATGCATTCTGTGCCATACCTGCATTTGGCCATGTTGTGGTGCTAACCTCTTCTCAAAGGATCAGTGAGACCTGCAGGATGAGCATGGTGTGTGTGTGTGTGTGTGTGTGTGTGTGTGTGTGTTTAGTTTAGTTTTTGTTTTTCGTAAATAATCATATTGTAGATGTCACAGCACATTTAAAGTAAATGAAATAAATGATGGAATATTTGTGATTACCTTCTGTTTTTCTAGGTTGCCTGCATGAGAGCCCCTCTCCCCTGATGATGCATTCTCCTCAGGTGCCTCAGTTCCACACAATGGGACAGCAGTCACCCTCACAGACCAAGAAACATGTGAGTGATCCACCTATGACTTTATGCTGTGTGTGTAGCCAAACAAATATCTGCTATGTTTACATACAGTAAGAATGCATTCTGAGCCACTTAGAGGTTAGAAAGGCACGGATGTAGCAAGTAAATGTCATACACTTCGATGCTGAAAATGGAAAAATGTTGTTTTGATTATTGGTAACAGACTGTCCCTCTGTAGGAGCAGAGGTCCAACCTGGTAGGGGTGAAAGAAGAGAAGCCTTCCCAGTCGCCAGTTCAGCCCCCATCACCCTTTAGCCCGGCCACGCGTCAGGACGCACACAAGCCCGACAACAAACACAGTGAGTACTAAAGGGTTTTTAATATCTGCTTTACAGACCATCATATCTTTGGCTAAAGAGTCGTAAAAATAAATTGCCTAGATTTTGGTGGGTGAATGTTGAAGTGTATATTCTCTGCTTCTCTGCTGTTGTAATTAAAAAGTGATGTGTGGCAGCGCGACGTGCAGTCATAGTCAGTTACTTTGAATTCAGAATGAATGTGTCTGCTTCCTTCCAAATAGATCTACAGCCACCTTACAGAAGCATTATTGCTTATGAGCTCATCCTCAGTATGTCTAGTAAATCACTCTTTATATGTCTGGCAGGATTAGATTTGAAGCCACTGGATAGTTCTCGCCTTGGTTCTCGCCTCCCAGACTCCCCAGCCCCACCCTGCTCCCAGCAAGATGACAAAATCAAGCAAGAGCCCAAAACTCCCATCGCTCCTAAGAGGATACAGGTGAGATGAGAAAATAATGGCCACGTTAAACTAGCTCCCCCTGCTGGTTAATCTGTTTTCTCTCCTTGTATTTTCTGGCAGTTTTCTCACCTGCCATTTTCGACCCCCACAACCCTTTTTTGGTCACTGTTGTTTTCCCAGGATGTGAAGTTAAAGAATATGGGTTCTTGGGCCAGCCTGGCTCAGAGGTCCCAGTCCACACCGGCTTCCTCTGTGCGTTCTTCCAGCGACAGCTTCGAGCAGTTCAAACGTGCCGCAAGGGAGAAGGAGGAGAGAGAGAGGCAGCTGAAAGCACAGGCTGAGCAGGCCAGGAGAGAACAAGAGAAACTACGGTAGGTGGGAGGAAAAGGGAGAAGTGTGTGGCAGGGAAAGCAGAAGGGAACAGTGTGAGGAGGAGGACATAGAGCAGGGATGTGCAATTCTGGTCCTCGAGGTCCTGCCCTGCTTGTTTTCCAGCTATCCCTGCCCACTGTTGATTACCCGGATCAGGTGTGTTCACTCAGTCAGAAGCTGGAAGATGCCACCTTAGATGAAGGTGGCGTGAGGAAGGACAAAGTGAATTGGGATCTTCCAGCTTCTGACTGACTGAACACACCTGTTAAATGTCTCACTCGGTAGAAATCTAAAGGATTAAAAATGTGATGCGTTATCTGACAGAAATGCAGGGGCGCCAATATTTTTGGTCATGACTGTATATAACTCAATATATGTCCATCCTGAAATATGTGGTATTGGTTAGCGTTTAATTATGTTCCATCATCAACACAATACTCACTGGAGCTAACAGACCAGCTGCAGCCGCCTGTCTGACACTTGTTTTTGATTTCAGCCGTGATGACGAGGACACCATGGAGCAAGCTCGTCGAGCACAAGAAGATCCCCGCCGGCGCCAGGAGCAGCAATCGCCACTTGCTCCCACTCCTCCAGCGTCAACCCCGCCCACTCACCCCCCACAGCCCCCCCCCACACAGCCACAAGCCACTTCCTCAGCTGTGCAGAATGCTCTCGATCAGCAGAGGGAGCTGGCACGCCGCCGCGAGCAGGAGAGGCGCAGGAGAGAGGCAGTACGCATAGATCGGTCAAATAGAAACCCTGGTTTATTATTTTAAAGCCTAGTCTCTAATGCTCCTTTTTGTTCTCTTCTGCAGATGGCCGACACCATCGACATCAACTTCCAGAGCGACCTGATGGCCATTTTTGAAGAGAACTTATTTTGAGAGGGAAAAAGAGGGTGATGGGAGAGAGAGGGGGAAGGACCTATAGACAAACACAAGCAGATTTAAAATATGCGTATAAACCACAATGCTCTGATACACATGGACGCTGCTCACACAAATGCACATCTACACAGACCTAATAGTAACTGTCCCTTTCTCTCAGTAGTTGAAACAGCTGGCTTGTGTCATGTAAATGAGAGGGGGGGGTGGATGTGAAATGGAAATAATTGACCCTCTTTTTTCCAACGTCAGATATGTTTTGGTGTCTGACGCAGAGTTTATGGATGTTCTGGGTCTCCAAAGACATCTGGTTGAAAATGGACATTGAAATGCAAAATGGAAAGGAGGGGACAGAACCTTTACATTAAAAAAAAAAAGAATAAATGGCTGTGATGATGATTATTTAATTCAAGAATTTAAGTGAACATTAAGAAAACCATGTTCTTTAACGTGTGAGGGGAGGGAAGCGGGTTGAAAAGGAACAGGTGAACAAAATACAGACAGATCACTTTTTGTTTTTTTCCTAACTCCAAATCTCATCTCTCTGTTATTTTACTTTCAGCTGGATTCTAACTGAGTGGTGGGTGGTAGGGGTTTGTCAGGCTCAGCGGTCATCTGAGAGTCTGTTTTCTCAGGACACAGTGGGAATGAAACCTCCCCGGCCACAGTCACACACTTTTTAAGACATCCTTCCTCCCTTCACTTCCTGCTGCTTCTCTCTTCAATCAGACAAAGAGATGGTGGCATCAGTGTTGGTGGTCTGTGTAGGAAGGACCAGTGGGATTTTGAACATTTTGCGTGTCCTTTGCCTTAGCGCACTGGCCTGTAAACTCACGACCACACCCTACAAATGAAACATATTATAAATAGATACATGAATATATATATATAAATATATATTATATATGACTCAAGTCAAGGGAAAAGAAGAAGAGGGATTTGGATAGCGGGGAGCAAAGGTCATCTGTGTTCATCTCTGAGCTCTGGTTTTGATTTTGTAAAATTTACTGTAAAGAAGAAACTTTTTTATGATTCTGTTGAGAGGATTCTTTCGTCTTGGTCTCTCTCATACCTTTTATGTTTTTTGTTTTTGTCAATTCTATGCCAAAACCAAACTGAGTGCTGAAAGTTCATTCACTTTTTTACATGTACAATGCATCTTCTTTTCACTTTATATTAAAGGCTATGTTTTTATTGCTATTTAATTTTCCTTTATCCCCTTTAAATCTGACGTTATGCAGTAGTTTGCTCTGTAATAGTCTGAAGAAGCGGTTCCAACATCATCACTGCTTCACTAGCCCCCATCATTCTGTTGTTGTTCTGTATTTGCACTTAACTGTTTTATTATTTTATCTTCTGTCTTTCTTCTCTTCACGTACATTTTTTCCCTTTTCTTAGTCGTCTTGTCCAGCCTGTCTTCTCCACAGCTTCTACAGTCTGTATAATAGCTGCCTATTTGTCATTCTGTCATTTAATTTTTATTTTTGAAACATTGTGGGATGTTGTGTGCCATTGTGTTTTTGTGGAAGCAGGGGCGTATTTAAGGTTTCCATAGTTTGGCCCAGAGATCCTGAGTGTTTTCTGTTCTGTAATCACTTTTTTAAAAACGTTTCATTCATTCATTTCATTTCCTTTTTCATATTTGACTGTTTGAGTTTATTTTGTTTTCTTTTCCTTTGCTCTTTTATTTTGATTTTAGTTTACCCAGAACAACCTGTTGGTATGTTGGTGAGTGAGGCATTGAGGTCAATAGATTCATCTTGTTCAGATTATGGAGTACAACATCTTTTTTTAAGAAAAGTATTAAAATAATATTTTAAAAAAA